GGGGTGATTGGTCATTCCTAAGCGGGTTACACATTCAAACTGATTGGTTCGGGCCCTGTGACAAACTGCACAGGGCCCTAGGCTAAATGACCAGTAGGGCGTTGTCTTAACTATCTCAGGAATCTGGGTGTAGCAGAGGAACTTTGCGATGCCCGGGTCTTTTACATTTTAATTTTGCAGTTTAGAGTCAGCTTAGAAATTTTACCCTTACAGCCAAACACTTTGAGAGCCTGGGAAGATGTGGCTCAGTGGTTAAGCATCCTAGGGTTCAATCCCTGGTATAAAAAGAAAGAAAGAAAAGAGAAGTGTGGTGCTAGGCACGATGGCACATGCCTGTAATCCCAGCTGCTCAGAAGGCTGAAGGAGAATTGTGTCCAGTCTGGACAACTTAGTAAGAGACAATCTGTCCATACCATGTAGCTCCATGGTGGTGCTTCCCCAACCCCTGTTCGATCCTATATCCAGCAAAATAAAATATAAATAAATAAATAAATAAATCTGTTTATTTGTTTTACATGTACTCACTAAGTGCACATGTTGGAGGTATTGATTTACCATATAGAGTGCATCAGAGAAAATCAAGTCTCTGCCTCATAGAGCTTCCATTCTAGGGGGAGAAACAAGGACATTTGCTACAATTTCAGGGAATATTGTTATCTCTAATTATCTCTTTAAGCAGGTTAAAGAGATAGTGGTAGCTGAGCATACAGCTCAGTGGTAGAGTGCCTGCCATGTACAAGGCCCTGAGGTTCATCCACAGCACAGCAAGAAGAAAAGACAGTGATGGTGGTTGGAATGGGATTGTTTCATACAGAGTAGTGAGTGTAGATTTTGAAGCCTGCATAAACTCTCCACCTTTATTTGCTTTTAGTCATTTGATTATATCATYAATTTTAGAGTTCATGAAGCTAAGCGCTATTCCTATTAGCTTTGCTATGGGACATACTGGTTATGATGGTAATGGTTGCCTAAGTTGTTTTTCAGGAACTTGGCAGTAGCTTAAATTGGTTGAAATTCACTGACCCTTCACTTGGGCTTATACAAGTGTCTGACTTTTTGATGTCAGAGGGTCCAACACTTCACCCTCAGAGATGAGAATATTGCCATTCCCTGAACATACATTCTAGGAAGAACCATGAAGCTTGATTACACTTGCAGAGGCCACTAAGTCCTTCATTCTTCCTCAACTCCAATCAGCTTTTCCCATGTCTGAGAGCCTTTTGTTTCTGTGTCCCTATAAATATCCCTAAATCCTGTTCAAGGGGAGGTAGATTTGAGAATTGGGGTTTCCACCTTCTCACAGTTGGCCACCTCATGAGTAAACTTTCTTCTTTGCCAAACTTGTCATGTACCACAAGATGAACAAAAGGGGCCTGGTTCAATAAGGACTTCTGCTGAGATGAGGGTAGACTGGAGATCTGAAGTAAGCCCTGGGGAAAGGCACTGAGGTGTCTGTGCAGGAGGGATTATGTGATCAGATTTACCTTTATTTATTTATTTATTTATTTGGTGCCAGGGATTGAACTCAGGGGCACTTTACCACTGAGCTCCATCCCCAGCCATTTTTATTTGTCATTGAGAGACAGGATCTCACCAAATTGCTCAAAGCCTTGCTAAATTGCTGAGGCTGGCTTTGAACTCTCAATCCTCTTGCCTCAGCCTCCCGAGTTATGGAGTTATGATTACTGGCGTGTGTCACCATGCCTGCCTAGATTTACCTTTTTGAGGTTGATTTTACTTATTTACTTATTTATTCATTTTAAATTTTTTTAATATTTATTTTTTAATTTTAGGTGGACACAATATCTTTATTTTGTTTTTATGTGGTGCTAAGACTCGAACCCAGTACCTCACGCATGCTAGGCAAATGCGCTACCACTTGAGCCACATCCCCACTTACTTATTTTTGAGATGGTGTCTCACTGTGTTGTAAATGCTGGTCCTGAGCTTCTGGGTGCCAGTAATCTTCTTGCCTCACCCTCATCAGTAGGTGGGACTACAGTAGTGGGCCACAATACTTGGCTTGGATTTCGTTTTCTTTCTTTCTTTTTTTTTTTTTTTGATACTGGGGATTGAACCCGGGGCTGTGTGTGTGTGTGTGTGTGTGTGTGTGTGTGTGTCTGTGTCTGTGTGTCTGTGTGTGTGTGTCTATATATATATATATATATATATATATATAGACACACACACACACACACACACACACACACATACAGAAAGAGAGAGAGAGAGGTCTTGCTGAATTGCTTAGGGCCTCTAAGTTGCTGAGGTTGGCCTTGTCCTTTTTTTTTTTTTTTTTTTGGTGCTGGGGATTGAAGCTAGGGCCTTGTGCATGTGAGGCAAGCACTTTACCAACTGAGTCAAATCTCCAGCCCCTGGCTTTGAAAACTTTTGATCTTCCTGCTTCAGCCTCCTTAGCTGTTGGGATTATAGGCATGTGCCACCACACCTAGCTCTCTACATATTTTTTAAGTTGTCTGCTGTGTTGGGGATTGGGTTGGAAAGGAAGGGTGGAAGAGAGATAGAGGAGAGTGGTCCAGGGAGAACAGCTAGGATTGAAGGAGCCCAGGGACTATGTTTTTTTAATTTCAGCATTTTTTTTTTTTTTTTAAGAAAGGAATGATAGGGCAGTGGCTAGAGGGAGGATATGGGAATCAAGAGTTTGTTTTTTTTTTTTTTTAAGAGAGAGAGAGAGAGAGAGAATTTTAATATTTATTTTTTAGTTTTCGGCGGACACAACATTTTTGTTTGTATGTGGTGCTGAGGATCGATTCCGGGCCACATGCATGCCAGGCAAGCGTGCTATCTCTTGAGCCA